GCGAAAAGAATATTTATCAGGCAAAGAAAAACTTAACGTTTACAGGTAACTAAAATTGTTGCAGAAATGACATGGAAACATCATAAAAAATATATATATATATATATAGTTCTATGAATTAGCAGCAAGAATAAGGACTTCCCGAAATTAAACTTACCTCCATAGAGCAAGCGAAAAGGAATCGCCACGTTCGTGTAATCCTCAGGCATGCAGTATTCTTGTTCCATTGTAACTGCAAGTGGGAACAAGATCAGGAACAGAAATCGCACAAACAGGAACCCTGTTCGAAGAAAACGTTTCATTTTGTTGTTATGTGAGAACACAGACTTGGGTTAACCAATTTTTTGGTTGTTTTCTGGGCGTCGACAGCAAAACTGAACTAAGTGGCAAATTTTAGGTCGTTATATACATGCGATCGACGCGCTATGGCACGGTAATTCCCATACAGTTATAGGCCATTAAATGTGTTTGCATTGCAAAACCTGACTGTTTATTTGCGTATTAATTGAATTGTGGCAAAGTATCGCATTAAAAATTAAATTGTTGGTCCGAGTCTCATCTGTTCACGGGCAGAAGGATAGTCTTTCGGAAAAAATTTACGCAAATCTAAAATTTTAAACACCAATAGCAGTCGCTTCTGCCGGCTGACAGTTTTAGCAAATATAAAATGTCTGACAGTTATTCAAAAACGTATGTATAATTACAATACATGCGCATTAGTTGCAATTTTGTATTCTAAATATGCATGCAAACTTTGTATTCTAATTTTGAATTTTGTATTCTAAATTCAATTTTGTATTCTAATTATGCATGCAAACTTATAACTTATAAGTTTATATCATGCATGTTAATATTTTTTTTTATACTTGTTATATACGCTTTTATCTTTGTTCAATCTAATATATTATTCGAACTGACTAAATAGAATGAAATAATGTAAGTATAGTCAATAGGGGTCTTAATTAAAAAGCGGCTAGTAGGTTTCTAGAAGGCTCCTAGCCTATCCAAAACAATAGAAAAATAAATCTAAATAACTTGATATTTTTTACGGGCGTAATAAAATTTAAAAAAAAAACAAAAAAAAACTTTCCTCCGAATAACTTAAACATCGAAGAGAAATCGTTGTATTCAATCTATGTAGTACCTGTATGCTGTTCAAAATTCTTAATTACTACAGGCCGTTTTTATTGCTTCCATGACGGGAAAGGAGCTATAGGCGAGTATAAAATTTAGAAAACTAGGAAAAACGCTAGCATAATTACAGACAATGCACTTAATTAACAAAATAGCCAAAGGTTATTAGTCGTTGTGTAGCGACAATATGCTCAATAGGTCATTACGTTCATATAAAAATATTAGCTGAAGTGTTTTTTAGAAGACAACATTGATGTGAATAATATAAAAACTTTTTTGAATAAAGTTTGGTCCATTACAAGCGAGCAAAAAGTTTCCTTATTCACAGTAAACTTTTCACATAAAACTATTTGAAGCGCAACAATATAATATTTAAACGCCTGGTGTTTCATGAATGCAGATGTCACTTGTGAGCCTCATTTTCATGTTGAAGCTTATCGCATTCATAACAATTTTTTGGACATTGACATCAAAGTGGCTCAACACATGGTACAGTTTTGAAGAAAATGGACTAAATTTGCGACTTAGATCTGTAGTTTTTGAAAAGCAAAAAGTATCACTTTCTGATGTTATAAGAGAGAATGCAGACTCAGGGAGCCATTGTTTGGTTGTTTTGTGAGCGTCGTCTCATGAAATTTACGTTGGCAGTTTGTATTTTCACATCATTTGTGGCATCAGGTAATTTAGAATTAGAAATTCCAGAATTATTATCTTTTCAGATTTGGTTAGAAAATGTACGTTTGCAAATGCTCGATTACGTTTTCATTTGGGCGCTTGAATTGGGCCCGCAGCAGATTTATCAAAACGTTTGCAGAAACTGATTGACTTTTGGAGAAATTGATTGGAGAAACTGATTCACTCTTTGGTTCGCCTATACATGTGTATAAAATATATTAATCGGTATGTAGATTTGAGCTCAAACAAAGGATTGCAGGCATGCGATTATGATATTAATATCCACGGCGGCCGTTAGTAATCGCTACACAAACACAAAATCACACATTCAGTCGAAAACGGAAAATGAAAAGTTTAGCTTGTAGAGGCGGACCTGGAGGTTTTGGTGACTGGTTTACTGGAAAAAGACACAATAATATCGCATTTATATATTTTTTTCGAAAAACGAGCAGAACTAAGTGATCAGGTATTAATAGAGGTTCACACATAGAGGATTTTTCTATCAAAGCTGAGTTTTAAATGGTTATCAGGCACCTATAGTCTGATAAGAGACATATCACTGTGCAGTTCTGCACAAGACCTGACTTGAAAAAGATTAAATATATATCGGTTACCAGGATAACCATTTACCAATATAAATACCCTAACCAGACTGGCCCGGTCGCCAAACAATGTTATGAAACATGTTTGTGATGTTACTCTGAGTGCATATCCACACCGGGCGAGCTTGAAAAATATGCCCGGCCACGGTGGGATTCGAACCTACGACCTAATTCAGGGCAAAATCACCGGATTTGAAAGGATTTCGCACTTAATAGATGACGCAAGTGTACCATGAATAATTTTTTAAATTTTGGGGAATTGTTTTCAAGACTAAAAAATTATTTTCTTTGAAAAATGTTATGAAACGTTGTATTTTTTCAGTGGCGAAGTTGAGGAGGTGTGATAAGATGAAAATTCTTAATATTTTTTATTTTTGAAATTTGCATTTCCACAAAATGTAATTTTATTTCACTATATATTTCAACTTAACTGAAAATTTCGCTCAATATAGCCAATATTGGCAGAAGAAAGAGGAGAATATTGTATGTGTACATTTTAATACCCTTCTGCAATATGATCTTTCATTTGGAATTGCGTAAGGTCAACTGTAGTATACTATAGTATACTGAGTGTCTACAAGGACCTTGTAAATCTGAAGCAGAAACCTAATGTTGAAAGATACTTTGTTTAGATATTTGGTATATCTGTAAACCTCCAATTATATAAGCACTCGTGCAATACAGCAAATGAACTGGTGGTAATTATATTTATATTTTTATAGCCATAGGACACCCCACCGAACCGATAGGATGCGCAAGAACTTTATACAATTTAACCTTTCATATATTCACTTTTGTTAGTTTTATATTTTTAATTATTCTTTTATTTTTTTTTTTATTTTTTTTTTATCAGGGCTCCACTGAAAATCACTTTCGTGAGTGGACCCCCTGACTAAATATTGTAATTACTATTATAATTATTATAATTATAATTATTATTATTATTATTATTATTATTATTATATCAATAGGAAAGGTCTTCACAAATATTGTTTATATTCGTCATTATATATCGTAGAAAACGCAATCGAGTCTGTTCACATGCATTTCGTGAGCTAAAATATCTTGTTATAGAAGCCAGAAATATTCTATCCAAATCAAAATGGCCTTCCTACGATTAACTCGATTGACGTTGGTCAATTTCCATATATATACATAACTAAGATAACTTGAATAAATATTGACAGAATTGCTGAATTAATTTACGGTATTTAACTTGGTCGTGCTTTCGAAGATGAGCAAGACAACAAGACAAGATTCGGCGAGATAAGCATGCGCGAGGAGCAATTTAGCCAATACAAGGCGTCGGAATTTATAATTTTATCGTGCTCGCCTGACGAGAGCACGACTAACGGGCAGATTACCCGTTAGTCGTGCTATTAACCTGCGGTCGGATGAAATTGCGTAGGCAATCATACCTCGAATTGGTTTAATTCAGGGCAAAATCACCGGATTTGAAAGGATTTCGCACTTAATAGATGACGCAAGTGTACCATGAATAATTTTTTAAATTTTGGGGAATTGTTTTCAAGACTAAAAAATTATTTTCTTTGAAAAATGTTTACTCATGCCCAGAAACAGCACGTCCTCTAGCTTCGCCACTGAATTTTTTGCACGCTAACATACCCCAGGCTTAATACGAAAGACAATTTAGCTTTTTTAGAAACAGTTCTGGGGTTCATTTCCACTATTGAAATTGAGATTGTGCAGTACAGAAATAACCCGTATTTTGAACAAATATAGCAAAAGTATATAAAATAATGATCTCAAGAAAATGGTGGTCAGTAATATTCTGTTTACATAGTTTAAAGAACTTTTGAATTTAATTGAAAGGAACATGAAAGGTGTTGATTTTTGTAGAAATGGACTTTTATATATATACTAAAAATGTTGTCAGTCACTCCTATACAAGCGCCACTTTTAACTACGTTTTAAGACATTAACGACACCAAAGAGCATAGTTTACTTTAATTACTTTTTTACAACATGCAGTTAACGTAATCTACTTCTTTACACAACCGACTTAACTATGTGGTTAAAGTTAATAATTTCTATTAAAAAAGTGATTAAAAATTTTATACAACCGGCCCCAGTTTTTAGAAGCTACTAATAATTATACAAGCAAAAACATATCAATTTTTAGTTAAAACAAACTTCAACTTATCTTATCCAGCAATTTTCGTGTTGCTCCTGATCTTCTGTTATGAAGCAAAAACGCATACTGTAACGTGTTTGGCTGCTCTTCTCATCAACTATTTTTCGGTTTCTGAATAAAATGTTTCGAAAGGTTGCCGTTAAGTTGCAGCCGCAGGGGAAACTGAGAAACTCGTTTTGTCGACAGTAATTTGCCCCAAATTACGGCAAAATAGATTTGCTTTGCAAGGTGGACCAGAATAAATGGCTAAGACTTTCCATTTCATTGTGACCGCTCAGCGGAAACGCTAATATTATGAAATAAGAAAATCATTACATCAATTGAGTTGTAAGGATATAGTTAATCGTAGTTGTTTGCAACTTATTCCAAATGCATGATCAGGTAGTTTTTCAGCATTAGGAGACTGTCTTGCAATATTATTTACTTTCTTCTAGGGCTTTCTGCCTCATACAACTGGACAGGATGGTACGATCGGGATGATCCCACAGGCGTTGCAGACTTTGAAGTTTATGTAGATTATGCTACAGTACGTTTACATTTCCTCCATGTTAATAGAAAATATAGTCAGTTGGTGATTTCGTCAGAAAACGTTTACTATATACAGTGTGTTTTTCAAATGCAAAAGTATATGTAAAATCGGTACGGTAAATAGAAGTGAGTAAACATACTGTTACTGGTAAAAAAATGTATCATGGCGAGAAATAGTGGACATGAAGAGGCGGAGTTAATTCCACCTAAACTAGTACTCAGGTCGCGGAGTCGTTAACACTTCTGTGATTCAGCTAGAACAAAAGGGACCAAATAATTTATGCAAAATGAAATGAAATGTTCATTCGTATATCAGAAAATACTCAAACTTTGAGGCTAACAACTGAAACAACGGCAAGTAAATGTGAAAAATGATATAAACTATTAAGAAGATAGTACTTTACGCTTTTCAAATCAGATTGAAACAAGTACGAATATATATCATGCACTCATATATTTTGACAATTTCCATGGCACGATTGCTCATGCATGTGTTTACAATCGATTGGATAATCTTCTATTGTGTATGCTGACGAAACTTAAATGTGAAAAACCGAAAAGATTTTAACACTTATGAAATATTGTTTAATATATTTCAATGTAGGTTGTTGTACACTGTCTGTATCGGATTGAAATGATTACTACACTTTAAAAAAGAGAGTGGTGAATAGAGTAGGATATTTTTATTCTCCCTTTCCAAACCTGAGCGGGGTTGGTAGCTTTGCTTAATAATTAGGCCAAACACCGTCACAGTAGGCCTTTGTTCTCTTTGTCTTGGCCTTTTGTTTTCTTTGTTTTCTAAAAGGCACTAATGACGATTTTGCTTAATTATTCATCTAACTTACCAACCCTGATTACCTGAGATAAATATTGATCATGATAAGATTGCAGTATCAATTGAAATAGACAAATACTAGTTAGTTTTTGCCTTGCGTACACTTCGGAAAACGCTAATTTAAGGACAGTCTTTGTTTCGAAATTTCCAAGTATATCAAATACCACTACATAGAATAACTGGATCAGCTTTCCCATAGAGCAAGTTGTAAAGCTGAAGCATCAGAAGCTGGGTAAATGTTATCTTTCAAAGGCGAATCTGGATATTACAAAAACAAACCTCTTCCATGGTTGCTTATTTATCTTTGCATTTAGCCACCGTGCGGATCAAATGCCAAGCCAGTTGGTGCCGATTGTCGTGTGAAAACAACTGGTCTGGTCTGGTACAGCGCAAATCAAGTGTTGCTGGATTGTTATGAGTGTAGTGCTAAGGGTCTCGCTTGTTTCAACAAATACCAAACCAACGGCCAATGCCAAGACTACGAAATTCGCTTTTTGTGTTTAAGTCGTAAGTATATATATTGTATATATACATGTATAAAGCGGGCGAGAGGACTTAACCTTAAAATGTCATTGTTCTCGCCAACTTATATTAAATAATTACGCTTAGGGTTTAGACTTTAGAAGTTGAATTAAAATGATGTGAACTTAAAGGTTATACAGATCGTTTGAAGTTTGAAGAATATATTTGCTTCTCCACCTGCAACCTTTCCACCTCCAGAATCAACTTTCCTTTTTTGTAAAAAAATTTAATATAGTTGATCAACTAATAATTTTCCCCTAGGTCTAGATCACAAGATTTCATTAATAATCATTGAGTTAAAAATGAATTCGATTTTCAATTTGTTTAGAGTGATCAAATGCGGTACGTGTGACGACGAAATGCGGAGATTGAAGAATACTTCTACTTTACAATACCGTATTACTAAACCATTCATGTGAAACTGAATATTAAATAAAACTTTTTCTCACAAAATTTGTAAGAAATTATTTTGAAGGAATATTATACTTGGAGAAATATATTAACGTATTTGCGATATCTCAACGTCCTTGAAGTTTGGGCAAATCTCGGAAAATCTTTGTTTCAAATGGTCAGTATACAAGGCGTTTGAGTAATAATCAGTTATCCAAAGTATGCATTTCTGTATTGGAGCTCTTAATTCTGTTTACCAGTAAGATCACCTGGCAATAGAGAGTAAAATTCTAAATGTGTCCTTGATAATAGACGTTACACAGCAAAGATTTTTCAATTCTCTACGTTTTCGACGAAGTTGCGTAATTGTCACTGTTCTAAACAGTTATCTTCAGGTTTATATTGCAAGAGCCGTCAAACTGTCAAAAAGTTTATAAATTTAAATATGTTTGAAGCGAATAAAAAAAAAAGTTTATAAATTTAAATATGTTTGAAGCGAAATATAGTCGACAAAGATATTTCCGATAGTCCAGCACGCTGCACCTCGAAAAGCCCAAAAATTCCTTTCCAAATTAATAAGTCTTATCCAAAACTAAAGAGTTTTAAAATTGGCCACTTAAACATTACTAGTTTGCCGAAGCACATGGTGAGCTTAAATTATTCATGAAGGAAATATCATTCGATATTCTTTGCATAAACGAAACTAGATTAGACAATGACTATAAACGACAATATTATTAAGATACCATGCAGGTTATGATATTGTAAGACGAGACCGAGATCGAAATGGTGGCGGTGTAGCAATTTATATAAGAAGTATCATTAGTTATAAAAACCATATCGAATTCATTCCAGACAACTTAGAATCTATTTGTCTCGAAATTCAAAAACCTAAGTCAAAACCACTCTTAATTGTTACATGGTATCGTCCACCAAATTCTAACACTAGCATATTAAACGACTTCGAAACGTTACTGCGAAAACTATAGATGATACAAATATTGATATTATTATCACTGGCGACCTAAATTGCGATATGATGGCAAACAGTCCCACTCATCATACAAAAAGGTTATCCGATCTGATAAATGAGTTTCAGCTAAAGCAACACATTACAAGTCCGACTAGAATAACGACAACATCTAAAACATTAATTGACATAATAATGACTAAAGCAAGCGATACCAAAATTATAGGCTCTGGAGTGATACATTTAGGACTGAGTGATCACAGTTTAGTGTACATTATCCGCAAATTAGGAATACCAAGGGCTGAACCAAAAATTGTAGAAACAAGGCAGTTTAAATACTTTAATTCATCTGCATTTCAATACGACTTAAAAATGGCATTTCAAAGACACTACAACCTCTATAATTATGCCGACCCAAATCATGCGTGGGAGGTATGGAAAACTATTTTTCTTGATATTGCAAATATGCATGCTCCACTTCGGATTCGGAAAGTCAAAAGTGAGCACTGTCCTTGGATGACAAACGAAATAAAAACCTTGCGCATCATAAATTCTACTTGAAACAAAAAGCAGTCAAATTTAACTCTTCTAATTACCACGAAGCTTATAAACGTTGTAGCAATGAACTTAACAAAAGAATCAAAGCAACTAAGGTTCAATTTTACAACACTAAACTACAAAACAGTAAAAATAGTAAAGAAGGTTGGAATACATTAAATAATCTGCTTAACAGGAAATCCAAAACCACAATTGTTAATGAACTTAGCGTAGACCATGCATGGAAAAAATGTAACACAAGATAAAGATATAGTCGACGAGTTTAATAAATTCTTCACTTCTATAGGTCCCAAATTAGCAAATAACATTGCTGACAATGGCTGTAGTCCTGATCCTTTGTCATATATAGACCAAGTCACAAATGTATTTCACTTTCATAGCATAGCAAGCTATGAGCTGAAAAGAGAAATACAAAATATGCAAATGGCAAAATCTACGGGTCTAGATAAGATCTCAACTAAGCTAATAAAACAGGCAGGCGATACAATAACTGAATCACTCCTAGAAGTGTTTAACCTATCTCTTAGGACAGGAATATTTCCAGATGATTGGAAATTTGCCAAAGTGACTCCAATATATAAGTCAGAAAACAAAACCTTATGTGAAAACTATAGACGGATATCAGTCATTTCGAATATCGCCAAAATATTTGAGAAATTAGTCTGTAGACAACTAAATACCTTCCTGGATAACAACAACATAATTGTAAAAAATCAATCAGGTTTCCGTCGCAATCACTCAACCGAAACCTCGTTACTACAATCTACTGAAATGTGGTTGAAATCAATGGACCAAGGTCAAATAAATGGGGTTATTTTCTTAGACCTGCAAAAAGCATTTGATACGATTATTCACCAGATTCTATTGTCAAAACTACAAGCTTATGGGATACGCGACCACACGCTCAAATGGTTCCAATCGTATTTAGATCAAAGAAAGCAAATTTGCATGCTAAATAACTGTAAATCTGATAATGAAACAATTCGTTGTGGAGTACCTCAGGGTTCAAATCTTGGACCTCTATTATTTCTCATTTACATAAACGACCTCCCAAACTGCCTAGAAACAACACACTCTAATTTATTTGCTGATGACACAATTTTATCATGTCAAGGGCATTTATCCATAGATATTGAATACAAACTTAACAAAGACCTAGTAAATGCTAAAAAGTTATCAGCGAATAAACTAACATTAAACAACGAAAAAAACAAATATATGATTATTGGATCTCGGCAACGATTGAAAAACTTAGATCACGTGCCAAAAATCAGTATAAACGGACATCAAATTGAACGAGTTTATAAAAAGGAAGCTTTCGGTATAGTTATAGACGATAGACTTAGCTGGAATAGGCAAAATGAAGAACAATGCAACAAGATATCAAAAAATATTAATCTTTTAAGAAAAGCCAAAGATTTTGTTGGCCTAGATGCGCTCAAAATTATGTATAACGCATTAGTCGCGCCTCATTTTAACTACTGTTCAACTGCTTGGCAAAATAACAACCAAACACACTTAGACAAATTATATAAGCTTCAGAAACGAGCAGCAAGAATAATAACAAATTCGGACTATGCTATAAGATCTTCGGTCATTTTTCAAAAACTTAGCTGGAAACCTCTTGACTTAATTTTGAAAAAGCGAGATCTCCTTATGACATTTAAAGCGATTAATGTCATGCTTCCAGAATACGTAACACAACTATTTCATACTTGTGAAAACAACGGTTACGTACTGCGCAGTAGTAATTTAAAGCTGTCTCAACCTAAGCCAAAAACGAATTTCTTGAAAAATAGCTTTTCGTACAGAGGAGCAGCGTATTGGAACAACATCCCAGTAAACTTGTTGAAAACCCTAAGAGAATCAACAAGTTTAAAATCTGTCCATCATCTATTAAATAATTACATCTTGTAAATAATTACATCTTGTAAATAAGTAAATAAGTATATTTTGTAAATAAGTATAATTTAGTTTATTAGTTCCTTCTTTTATAATGTATTTATTTTCCGCACGGCCCTTTGGAAATCACCTATGTGAAAGGTTACCGTGTTTAAAGATCAATAATAATAATGGAAACTTTATTGAAATTATATACGTATATATACAATTATAAATCTCACTAATTTAGGTAATTTATAATTGGCTACTTGAACCTACTTAAAATTTATATATTAATAATGAGTATCCTTAAATGTTCAGTAATTCCGGATTTGACCAGTCCTTATCTCTGCAACAAAATATATAATATGTTGTCTTAATCGCGATAGACATAATTTTCCTGATAGCAAAATGTTGGTGTCTTTTATCAAGACCTAGATCATTTAACATATCTAAAAAGGAATGACATTCTTTTGAGAAGACGCCTAAAGAACTAATTGACAAATTTACAAATTTTACGGACTTAAATTGTTTCTTTTGCTGTGTAATGAGATCTTCGTATCTTCTTCTTTCCCGATCAACATTTGTTTGTAGATTAGACTCGTAACCAACAGAAAGTTCAAAGATATAGAGACAATCCGAGTTGATAGATAGAAGTAGGTCTGGGCGGAATGTGTGACCAGTTACAATTGATGGGCTTTTATAACCAGGAAGATCGACGAAAAGATTGGAGTTGTTTACAGGTTGTAGCGTTTGTGCTATGAAGTTCAGAACAGAATCATGTCTCCATGTAAATCGTGGGAGATACGTTTGACATCCAGCAACTACGTGTAAAAGGGTTTCGGGGTTTAAGCAGAAGGAGCAATCAGAGTTTGACAATATTCCCCATTTAGTAAGGTTTTTACGAGTTGGAAGTGAGTTATTGATGTATAACGAATGGTGAAGTTATAGATGTTCTTTGGGAGGTTTGATTGGGATTTAGACCATATGCCGTTTAATTTCGACAGTGAAAACTTAATGACATTTGAGAAGAAGGAGCCTTGCAAAATCAGATGATTCTGCAATTTGTCTTCTTGTCCGGAGTTAAAAGTTTTAAGGACTTCCTTTGTCGAGGTGTAAACGTCGTACTGAATGTTTTTGCTTTCAGATGTTGTTTTCCAGAGGTCTTTTATGGAATAATTTGGAGAGGTCTTTAAGGCGTTACGAGCAACTGTTTGGCACTGAGCAAACTTAATTGACGGCGGGTAGATATTTAGACCAAACTTGTTGCTGGTAAGGTAGACGTTAGATAGAGTTCCTGATATAGGTATTTCAAGCCATTTACGTACGTACTTGTTCACCACAGAATCCATATTTTCAGAGACCCAGGTTCTTGATATGGTGGTTACAGTGAAATGCCAGGAAAGTTGGGATAGGAGGTAACGACTATAAAGCAAAAGTTTATTTTTCGGGTGCAAAGGTTTAAGATCAATTTCAGACATAATGTCGTCCATGAGAGTGATTAGCTCTTGTTTGTGTTCTTTTTCGGACATACTGAAGTCAAAATATTTCCCCAAGTATCGAAACGACTCTCCAATTTTAGTGGCAGGTATCAATTCATTGTTAATCAGAAGTTTAGGTAAATATTGGATAGATTTTGTCAGACTTTTCCTGATCCCAAATGTTGAACACTTATCAACCCTGACAATCATGTTAGACCACTGGCACCAGATCGAGAATCGATTTAAAAGATGTTGATTTTCTGAATCTTGACCGCTTATTACCACAGCATCATCAGCGAACTGGAACCAATGGACTGGGTTTAAAAGATTTGTAATGAAACCAAATTGCCGGTATTTGTCAGTTTTTATATGTTGAATGAAGGTATTGATGCACATATTAAAAATTAGAGGACTAAGACAGTCTCCTTGAAGGACTCCACGACCGACAGTTATAAATGGGGTAGAGAATTCTGATGTTATAAATGCAGTATTGAAGTCCGTATACAAGCTCTTTATTATTTCACTAACGTCTTTGGGAATGTGATGATAGTCGAGGACAGATTGAATTAGATTATGATGCACTTCACCAAAAGCATTCTTGAGATCGAGAAGGGTGATGACAACAGAGCGCTGCTTTATTCTCGCTTGGTTGATAATATTTGTCATTTGAGCAGTGTGTTCCAGAGTGCCAGACTGGCCCAGACAGATTGGGAGTGAAACCTTTTTGAATCTGATGTTCAATAAAGTTATTAGCGGTTAGGAACGAGAACATAGCATTGCGGAGACAAGAGGTAAACACTTTTAGACTTTAGTGGTATAGTTTCTAGAGTAATTGGGCGGAAATTGGAGGGGTCACTTGTATTGCCTTTTTTGTGGATAAGAATAGAACACGCTTTTTTCCATTCAGCTGGTACAGATTTCGAAGACCAGACGCTACGTATCACTTCGGTTAGATAAGTGCGCAAAAATGGACAACGTTTGAAGCAAATTATTGAAAGTTGATCTAAAGGACAAGGCGATCCAGAAGCTTTCATTCTGCGAATAATATTTGTAACTTGGCGATATGTTGGGGGTTGAAGGTCAAAGTTTACGATAGGATCGGATAACTTCGGAATCCAGCTTGGAATACAAAACAGTTTGTTTGGGTTTATTGAACATAGAGTTTTCTTGAAATAGTTTACGCATTCTGACATCGGAAAGCATGGAAGTAGGCAAGTGTTCTCATTCAGGACGTTCTTAACGTAACCCCAGAAATTTCTACTAAGGTAATTGTCGTGATTGAACGTTTTGTTTTGGTTTTGAGTTGTATTGATTTGACAAGCATTACGCAACTTATCACGCAATGTGCGAGCTACATATTTGGTTTCGTGAGGATCAGCGTTCGATAGCTTTAGTTGTTTTAGACATTTCTTTAAGGCTTTTACTGTTTGATCTTTATACTTATTCACTAGCTCTTTATCCGGCATCTTATCAACATAACCGAAGTTATCAGCGAAATAGTTGTAGACAACATCATTCATTAGCGTAATGCTTGAGCTTAGATCTTCGGTTCTGATTGGCGCTTTTAGTCGCAATTCAAATTTGAAATAACTGTCAGCCGTTGACCATTCTGCGTCGCTTTTGGGAAGCTTTACCCCTTTCTTCAACACTGGAAAATTCTGATCGCTCGCAATATTTTCCATTACATCAATTTCGTCACATGTAGAATGAGTAGAAGTATTCGTAGTCGAGTTCTCAGTAGATTGCTGTTCAAGGTCTGTAAGCAATGCTGCAATTCATCATTTAAACCATGTATTACACGACAACTACGTTGGTGCATTTTAAGCCCCCGCGTACCTTTACATGATTTACCACAATAGCACTTAACGTCGTTGGTGTTTGAGATTCTGACAGGAGAATGCACAACCGGTATATTTTGATTGACTGTGTTAGCAGGACGATCTTGATTTATTTTTTCTTTACAACGCCATGAATGACGGCCCAGCGTAACGAAGTCTTTGCCACAGAACGAGCAAACTGCGCAAATTGCCAACATAGCAACAAGGCTTGAACGAATCATGATTTATATCCCAGTAAATCCAATAGTTATAATATTTTTTATTAGTAAACTGTGGTTCAAGTAAGAAAATAGCGATAAAACGAACAACATGTACAGAGCGCGTATAAACAATGCTGCTCTGCTCAATGCTGATAATAATAATAATAATAATAATTTTTTTTTAAACAACAGAAATCTTTATTAATAACATGATAATTTATACAAATATATCACATAATTAGACTTTCAATTAAATCAGGAAAATAGAGAAACAGTTCACTATGTTAGACAGATAGGTCCATTCTCTACACTTTGTATCAATAGTAGCTAATAAAAATTCAGTAAGTCTGGATTATTCCACGGCTTGTTTCTTTTGCAGTAAATGTAGAATGTTGCTCTCAGAGCTACCTCCATACATTTTTTAATAATACGTTCGTCGTTCATTTCAAGTGTTCGTAATAATCTACGAAATCTGTCAATATCTTTCGACACAAACCCTAGAGTGGTTACTTCAAGTGTAATAACTTCAAACGCATAACACGTCGTGATCAGCTCAGATCTTAGATGTCTGTATCTTTCTTTCTTGCGACGTTTAGCCTTCGTACAATTGGTTTCGTAGGGAACGGTTAATTCAACCACATATACAGAACCCTTAAAATCCACCACTATATCAGGTCTTAGCGTTCGAAATAAAGTTGAAGTACAGGTCGTACCTGAATTAGGACAGTCCGCAAACAGTCGAAGATCTGCACCAACTGCGACTTTTAAGTGATGAATAATAGTCATCAGAATCGAGTCATGCCGCCAAGTATAGCGTTGTTGTTCTAGGGCTACCTTGCAGTTGGAAAAAACGTGTAGCTGGGTTTGTAACTTGTTGCACAACTCACAGTTGGCGGAGTCACGAATGTTCCAGCGCTTTAGGTTAGAATTATTTCCTAAACTTAAAATTAACGCTCTCCTAGCAAAGCATACTATATTGCTGGGCATTCGAGTGACAATTTCGTGCCATACTTTAATCATCTTCTTATAGCAAGTATCAGTTAAGCAGGTAATGATCACGGATTGTTCTTTTAGTTCTACAAAGTTTGACCAAATTTCGTTAAGGTTTTTCTTTACCAGAATCTTCTTTGCAGCGTTTCTTAACATATATTGTTCAGAGATACTGGCAGCCGCCCGTTCAATAATATCATCAGTGACGATGTTTTTTGATGACGTTTTGGTATATAGCTGTTGAATATCGGAGTTGACAGAAGTCCTCAAGATTCTGCGCACTGTCAGTTTACATTGATAATAATAATAATAATAATAATAATAATAATAATAATAATAATAATAATAATAATAATAATAATAATAATAATAATAATAATAATATAATAATAATAATAATAATAATAATAATAATAATAATAGTAATAATAATAATAATAATAATAATAATAATAATAATAATAATAATAATAATAATAATAATAATGCATTCTCTTTGAAAACCAAACTTTCAATTAAATAGTAACGGTCATCCGGGAGACAGTTATTGTCCTTCAACATGGTATAGGCCTCCATAATATCGTAATGAAGAGAAGTATCACGGAGAAGGAATCGATTGAAAACATGTGCGGGTATATGGTAATAATGCTTTCAGCAGTTTTAGCTAAGCAACACCAGGACATATTTTCCGATTCGTGCAGCTTGTGTGCTATCAGGATGGTGAGAAATGCACATGCATTGGTTGCATCACCTTGAATCTCTGGGTCAGCATGCAGGTACACGGATTGGTCAAAGTTTACTTCTTGTCCCTTTAGAAGTTCTTGATCGACGTTTCCAATATAAACTTGCTAAAGCCTGGCTAATCCTAAGGTGGTTTCCATTGGATTTTCATGCGGTGTAGAACTGGAACTTGTTTTCGATCGCTTGTCTGCGCGAATCATATTAACAACTTCTTTCATGCATGGACGGCCGTGATTTTAATATGATTTCGTTGACCAAAAGCTTATGGAATGCTGGATTCTTCGCTAGCTTAATCGCGCCTTGGTTATCAGCATTAATCAACACCTTATTACTTACCTGTAATATCTCTAAATCAATACACAACTGCTTTAAAAACTTACCTTCTTGCACAGTTTCAGCCAGTGCGATATATTCGGCTTCACAAGTGGGCAATGCAACTGTCTACTGTTTCTTACTTTTCCAGGACACCAAAGGTCCTAATTCTGACATTTGAAAACAATAACCTGAAATACTCTTTCTATCACTAACACAACCTCCCCAATCATAGTCAATAAAACCTATCAACTCCAAAGGGTGTTCCATTCTTCTTAACTTTAAACTTAAAACAGACGTTCCTTTCAAGTACCTAAGAATATACTTTGCTGCATTTAAAGCTGCTACCATAGGTTTTGACATGTGTTGAGATAACTTCGTAACAATGTGGCACAAATCTGGTCTAGTACGTGTCATTACATAAATAAGGCTTCCAACAATCTGCCTGTAGGAGTTGAGATCCTCTAAGACAGGTGACTCCATATCAATAACCTTATCAAATCCAAGAACAGATGGAGAGAGTTTGGTTCATCTCTATCATGCCATCAGAACATTTGAACTCAGTGCCTAAGAACCAATGTAAGACACCTAAATCCTTCATCTTAAACCTCTCACTTAAATTTCCCTTCACCGTTTGTAACAAATCAAAGTTATTTGCAGAAATAAGTAAATCATCTATCCAAATAATCAAGATAATGCACTTACTGGTATCCGGCACCATCAACAAACTTATGGCAGACACATCAGCATAAACCCTTCCTTCGCCAAGTAGTTATGAAGTGTTGTATTCCAGTTCCCCTTAGGTTGTTCAACAAAGATGTCACAATCAATGGCCTTAGATATGCTGCCTTAACATCCATCTGATGGACAATCATATCGTTTTGCACCGCGCGTGCTGTATTGATACTCGAATTGAGCTCATCCGAGCTGTTGGTGCAAATGTTTCATGGTAGTGTACACCTGGGACTTGGGAATAGCCTCTCGCTACCTACCTAGCCTTATATATCTCCTCGGCGTTAGGACCTGATTTAATCATGTACACCCATTTTCCACCTACTATCTCGCGGTTGGGTCGAACCATGGTAAGTGTAAATGTTTCATTACTTACCGGAGAGTCAAATTCTTCATCCATTGCCTTTTTCCACCTAGCTGAATCTGTTGAATTTACTGCTTGTGAATAACAAGCTGGGATGTCATTCATCCTATAGCAATAATCTATTGCAACATTAGCGCTACTATCAGTGATACTTTCTACAACATATTCACTTAGGTAAGCGGGTTTATTATGAGGCCTGGTAGGGTACCTTACTTCACCCTCTACTGGTGGAATAGCTGGTTCAATATTCTCATCAGTTCCAGCTTGTTGCTCACCGTAAGAAGTATTGCGGGGCAGTGAGTCAACCTCTTCGTCAATTTGACGGTTCTCGTTATCAAATTCAGTTGAATCAAAGAATTTAACACATCGCACTCGTTCAACTTTCATGCTTTCTGGATAGTACACCAAATATGCAGGGCTATTCTTGTACATGTCATACCCTACAAAAATTCCCTCCTTACTCCTAGGTTGAAGCTTCTTAGAACCTTGCACGTAGGCATAACATACTGCACCAAATACGTGCATGTTATTCAGATTTGGCTTTTTGCCAGTTAAGGCTTCATAGGGTTTTGCCCAATCTATCACTGAAGCACCTATTCCTTATATATGCTGAAGTCATCACAGCATATGTCCATAACATTTTGGGTAACTTGGCTTCTAACAACAAACACCTTGCCATATTAAATAAGCTAAGCCAAGCTCTTTCTGCTGTGCCATTTTTATGGAGTGAGTGTGGGGCGCACGTTTCATGTTTAATTTCGTTTTCTCGGAGTAGAGATTTAAACTTCTGCCCAATAAATTCCCCACCATTATCACCTTACCCTCGGCAGGTTTGCGAAATCCCGCAAACCTGCCTCGGGTTACGGGGTCATTTAATCACTAACCTCCCTCAAGCCATGCTATTACTTATAATTGTCAGACGCTAATAGCTTTAATGCAACACAACGTCAACGATATTGTATCTGCTTTCTACATATTTTGCTACTAAGCTTATGATAAGCCATTAATTTCATGCTCATCAAATGTTGCAAGTCTTTGACGAGAACAAATAACCATGAACTCAGTTTTATAGCGACATTTAAACTTAACTTGTTAACACTAAGCTATTCTTTAAGTTTTCCAAGTTTGATATTCGTAAGATTTTCAAGCTCATCAAATTTATTACTTTGAAAATTGTTTAAAAGTCTTATATGTGGTTTTTTGTCCGTTTTTCCATGACGGTTACATTTTTACGAAGAAATTACTCGGTAACGGTGATTGCCAAAATAAATACGACAGTTTATAATAAATACAATTTTCACTGAATAAAACTTAAAAACACGATATTAAAAAGCCACCTTAAATTAATATAAAATTAAAAATAAATCTCCTTGCGTATATATCACAGTTCTATTTGAATATAATGATTTTATAACATTTTTTCCAAAAAGCGTAGTACTACGAGATGAATGGTTAAAAATTATTAGATAAAATGTACTTGGAAACATTACAGGCCTGCCAACCCCTGCGTGAGAAATGGTATGGTATGGTACACTTTATTTAAGGACGTTAGCCTCGTCAACAGTTTGTTGGTTTCCACGAGGGGCGTAAAACCATTAAAATTATTTACAAGAAAACTTATTTCCAGGAATTATATACGAGAAAATAAAATGCACGGAAATTAGTTAATTGGTGTGACCCGTGCATTATATTATATTACACTTTACAGTGTAGTTGCACGATGATAATTTTGTTTCAAAAATTCTTAGAAGTAAATTTAGACTCGCCTAGTTTAGCACTTTAGCATCAACCGGAAGACTATTTCAGAGTTTAGCTGCACTATACTTGAAATTTTGTTTAAGAAATTCTCTTCTCGGTTTTGGTAGCGCTAAATCAGAATGGGAATTTCTGAGCAGGCCGGATTAACGTCCGCATATTATCCCAGGGCCGGATTAACGTCCGCATATTAACGTCTGCATATTATCAGCGCGGGGCCCCTTGACCTCCCTCCCGAACCGCTCAACGGCATTTTAGATACTGAATTCAGTAAGATTAATAAGAAATATTCTTTTGTATTTCATGCGTTGAAAAGTTTCCTTTGTATTTACAAAAAAAGAATTATACATGAATAATTTGATTGGAACTGAAATTCAACGCAGTTTATACCATTAAGATACATTATTATTATTCACAGGGAAAAAAAGCTAAACATATTAGCCTCGATAAGTTTACTGCAAATTTTGAAATTTTCTGATGATCTTTTAGCCTCGCTTTTTGGAGCCCCTTGCATGCGCCCTTGCCCAAAGAAGGATCCGGAACAAAAACATTAGTTTGTGGCTCAGCTTTTGGAGCCTCGCTTTTTAAACGTTGTGGGCTGGCGTTTTTTTTATTTTGGGGCTTCGCTTTTGGGGGCCTTGGACTCTTTGGGGCCACGCGCTGTTTCGATCACGCGCTGAAACAGGGAGCAAAAAACAGTTTGGGGCCCTGCCGTTCGAGGTTTAGATTCTTATTTTTAAAGTTTTGAGTTTTGGTGTTTTCTAGGGACCATGGGTTCTTTCGGGCCCCGCGCTGAAACACTGAAACAGGGAACAAAAAAAAAAGACTGGGCCCCCGCCTTTTGGGCCTCGCTTTACAAATTTTGGGCGACTTGGGCTCTTTGGGAGTAGCCAAACTCCAGGGTGGTGAGGAACCTGTCCAGTGAGGAACCTGCCTATTAATTTCTCAACTTAACCCTTTCCCTAATGCTAATATTAGTTAATACCCTCCTTGAGTTATTTTAGTTATGTAATATTAACCTTAACTATACTAACCATGCACTTAATATTAATCTTTACTAATTAAGTAGTTACTGATCATGATAAGTTGTTTTCCTTTCTTTCTATTCATTTGTTGTATCAAACTAGTATGTAACCGTTTTTGTAATATTAAACCATTATTTTGTAAATATATATACCATCCCTGTAAATTAATTTAGATTGCTCTGAAGATAGTGTAAACAACAAAACGTTAGCTATTAAATTTTTTGCTTTTATTATGTTTGGTTTAAAAGTTCTTTGCTGGGCTCTGCTTTTTATCTTTGATTAAATTAAGATTTCCGTCTGGTGTATTAATTGCCACAGAGTGCAGAAAAGCATAATGAATACGAAACGGGATAATAGAATGCAAAACAGCAAAAATGCGAAACAGCGTGATAGAATTGCCAAACAGATTAACAAAATGCCTCTTTTAATTGCATAATGTAAGTTGAATTTTGGCGGAAACACCCCTCATGCATGGCGCATTGTAAATGAGCGCTTGCATGGTTAGCCATGCATCGGATATATGGCACCAGACGTTTTGACCAGACGTTGGGGAACTGATAATGGTTTGCAAATTCAGGATATTATATAGTTAGTTATCCTGTAATCAATTCAACTTGTACTGTTAGTATTATCGTTGAAAATTGCTTGTTTAAGTTGCGCAGGAAATATAGAATCTCACTAGGTAAGGTTTTCGTATTTTAATAATACAGTCAATGTCGTGTTTAATTTACAATAACAAGTGCACGTTTCAAAACATTCTAGAAAGCTTTTGTAAGGCTACACGTTTCATGATTTACATAAGGAATAGGCAGCTCGTTTGAACCTAAATTGAATTTAATTAAGCAGTAAAAGTGTTAGCCCGCGTGCAGGCCCAAGGGAACTGATAGTGGGCCTGCAAGCAAGGCCCGGTATTTTGTACTTTCCGCGTTCGCCCACGAACGCGGCATTCTGATTGGCTGTTTGCTGTTGGATTCTATAATTAGGTCAGTGATTCATCACAAAGGCTCTCGATAAGCTCAAAATTCGAAAATTGATCACTTTTTTCGATTATAAATGGAACAAGAACAGACTGTTTATTGTTTACTTGAAGGAAGAGATGTTTTTGCCGTTATGCCAATGGGGTTTGCTTGTCGTGAGGTGTTGGAATAGCAACATTACGACTGGGGTAAACTATAGTAACCTTTACTTGAGTTTCATTAATAATTTCAAACAGACTTGATACGTTATATGTTCCTCAAGAAAATTATCTTTTGGTTGATGTTGAGATGCAGTTGCATGTAAGCCTATTCAAAATACTTTGCGATTTGCAAGGCTTCGCTGAGAGAGCGAAACAGAAGACGGTATTAAATTGCCGTTTGAAACGAAACGATCTGGACTCTGAACGCTCTCTTCTTTTGTAGAGTTCTTTACCAAATGAAATAACTGAAATAAATTTCGTACTTTCCACCGCCAACAAGAATTGCACACACGATCTGATAAGTGAGACAATTTATTTATAACAATGCCAATGGCGACAGCGAAGCACACATAATATATTAATGCTAATGTGGTCGCACGACTTCCCTCACGATTTGGAGTTTGAGACTGGTTTTCTGTTGAAATTCGTCCTAATTTGCCTGTTCCGATTTTAGTTGAAAATGAGCACTTGAAAATTTGGCAATTACTGACTGCGTTGCTTGCTTTTTTGGGGTTAAAACGCTGCCATTTACACATTGTTTATGACTTTATGTTCTGAATAAGCAGAGAAAACCCCGCGTTTGTTTGTTAATATTTGGGTGCTGTCATTGGTTATTTTTTGACAATTGACGCGCGAATGGGGCGTGTTATGAAAAGGGGCGTTTTACAAAATACCGGGTCTTGCTTGCAGGCCCACTATCAGTTCCCTTGGGCCTGCACGCGAGCTATAAAAGTGTTTTCTAACCGATTTTTTGGGTCATGGCGGAATATACGGAAAAACAAGAAAGAATGCAGGAGCTATTTAATGGACGGAGACATTAATCACGTTTTCCAGTTGAGTGCGTAAATATTCTATATTATACATAAAGACAGTAATTATACTTTACTAGTTTGGCTCTTGCCCTTTTAATTCGACTGGTCAGAGTCTGGTAAGGTCTGCAGAAATTTCCGCTTCTTCTGAAATAATTTTTGTACTACCTCATTTTGCCTACTGTGTAAAACTTAAAGAATATGGTACACCTAAGGGTCTATATTTTCTAATTTAATGTGAATCATAATTAGTATAATGAGATTATATTAACTATGTGCGAATCAACCGTGCGGAAACGAATTGTTCTTTGGCTATAAATATTTCTATTACTAGGAGTTACTATTGCAAGGAAATTGCTGCCTCACCCCTAAGGGATCAAAGCCAGGCAGCATGCAGAATTCGCTGAATAAGGGGCTGAAGACATTTATAGTTAACTGTAAACTAAAAGCAATAATAATCTTCTTCAACAAAACATTTGAATTCTGTTAACCAGCATTTGAACTTTCATTTAGCCTAGTGACTTACTTCCATACATCAAAATCACCCTGCCTTCCAATATGTAAACAGCCCCTAAGACGCCCAACTGTTCATGAGGTAGGAAAAGTGCAATTTGAATATCAAACACCTTGCACAAAGTCAAAGGTCAGCTAAATATTCTGCTTCTACTTTCTTGGCATAGCCCGGCATGGGCGGTTTAATTTATATGAATACCTTCAATGTTTATAATTTCTTGCTTTTGTACATATAATTATAATACTGTCTGTGGCAAAGCTAGCTATAGCAACAGGTCATGCTATGCAAATTTTTAATTATTTGCATTATTCAAATGATGCCTTTATCAGGACCGTATGGCCAGTTGCCATGGCTAGCTAGCCACTGAATACTGTATAATATCATATATAGAAATACAAAGTCAGCTTTAATTTGTCCCAATTATCATTTACATGGTCATGGCACCTTCAAGGCTATCCCTATCGCAAAACAACCGGACAATCTGATGGGGAGACAAAATCTATTTGTTAAATTTTTGTTTAATTGATATGTCAGCTTCAGATGACACCATTCATTGTACTCAGAGATTGTACTCAGAGATTGTACTCAGTCAAAACCGCAAAACTATATAAGAAAGAAATTGTGAGCATTATCGAAGAATATATAGCCAGGTGCATGAATGTACTGTATGAGTAGGCTGGTAGGATTATTTCATATTATATTAACAATGGACATGCATTGTTTTGGATTTTGTCCAGTTTATTATATACTTCATGTTAATTTATTATGGTAATAGACTTCTGTCCAGTAACATTGAAAATAGAGAGGTCAGAGGACAGAACGAACACAAAACGATTTTGAGAAACAGGGTTTTTTCTGTAAAATGTTGAGTTTTGTAGCGAAAAATATATGAAAACCTCATGGTTAATAAAAATTACACGCCGTCTATAACAAAGCTGGTCCTTCGAGCCGAAGTAAGCGAAATTGACAAGTGTAGAGCGAAGAGAAAAGTCGCGAAAGCTAGCGTGACAAGAAATATGAATCGTGTCAGAGAGCTGATCTCTGGCGATGGAAGTGTTTCGAAAGTCCGACAGTTTGCCAAAGGTGTAGAAGAAGGTTGTACGAAAGCCCGTGACCTTACGACAGAACTGGAAGAGCTTGATCCAGCGTCAATTGAGACTGATGGTAGCTGGTTAGAAGAGGTAGAATTTGATGTCAACGAAGTCCTGGGAGAAGTTGCCGAATATTTATTAAAGTCTGAGAGCCCATCGCCAAACGAACAGTCTAGTATTACACCACCAACTGCTCAGAATAATTATGAAAATACTGAAACTGTGAACGATTCAATGTCTGGGAAAAGAATTGGTCTGAAAGGTGTTGAAATCCCATCATTCGATGGAAAACCAGATAAGTGGCCGTACTTTTGGGGAATATTTAGTTCTCTTGTCCATAAGAACGATAAACTAACGCCAGCAATCAAGCTAGCTCATCTGAATAGCTGTTTAACGGACAGAGTACGTGAAGTTATTGCATGCCTGACCGGGGAACCTGGGGACTATGACAGGGCGGTGAAACAACTCACTGATAGGTATGGGGACCCCCGAGAAATTATAGATGCCCATTTGCGCAGAATAAGTTCTTGGCCCCACATTAAGGATAAGGATCGTGAAGAATTTCAACGCTTTGCAGATGCATTACAAGCAGCTGTGTTTGCACTAGATAAACCTGACTATAGGCATGAATTAGCTAGTATACCTCTTTGTACCTTGTTGGTTCAAAAACTCCCACCTAGAGAAAGGGATGAATGGGTAAAACAGGTTGAGAGTGAAGATTACTCAGAAGACATGAAGGGTTTAGCCAAGTGGGCCCAAATTAGAGCCAAAACCATGCGTAAACGTGAGCGATACAATATTGAGCCGCCAGATAAGGGTAAATTAGAGTCAACTAATTTTCAGTCACCAGGTCGCATGCGAGGTAGGGTCCATGCTCTACGCACATCTGGCTTTGATCCAGAACACCAAAGTTTAAAAAATTGTCCATTGTGTGATAAAAAGCACACTGAAGTCTCATGCCCTTTGTTTTTTGATAGTTCTGTTGAGAAACGTTGGGAAATTGTAAAAAATAAAAGGGTATATTTTGGTTGTTTGAAACCTGGCCACCAACGGCGCTTGTGCACAAAGTCCTACAAATGTGGAGTAGACTCATGTGACAAAGGCCATCATTATTTATTGCACAGTTCTAAGTCTAAGCATGAGAAACCATCTGATGACCCACCTAAGACTCCAGAGGAAAACAAAGCAATGCATTGTGGGAAAGCACAAATCAGCACACCCATAAGTGAGAGGGTTGCCCTGAAAACTGTATCTGTCCCATTTATAGATGATTCTGGAAGGGTAGTCAATGGTTTGGTACTTTTAGACTCAGGAAGTGAGACCACACTCGTAAGAGCAGGGTTTGCAAATCAGTTAGGCATAAAGGGGCCTAAGCAAAGTCTTACTGTGGATGCAGTAGGAGGGGTACGCACCGTAGTGAAATCACAACGTGTACATTTACCATTTGCACCACACATTACAAAGGCAAAAATAACAGGGTGGACCATTAATAATATCTGTGCCCCTGTCCCAGATGTTAATTGGCTTGAGATTAAGCATAATTATGCCCA